TGTAAGGTGGGGGGGGGCCCTGGTTGCTGGATTGGCTAATGGTGCCAAAAAATCGTTATGACATCATAAAGTGGCCAAAATCTGATCAGCTCATTTTCAGACAGGTTTTTATAGGAATGGATCAGGACAAACAGAGAGAATCTTTTTTCCTGGAACTTTCAGAATCTTAAATGTAATTTTACACATGTTGATGTAGAGAAGACATGAAAAAGTGGATTTTGCATAATAGGTGACCTTTAAGTAATTTCTTGTATTTATGTTCATATTTGAAATCCATTCTTTAATGAGGAAACATCTGAGATTTGACTTCACTTCTAATGACAGTGAATGCTCCATACAGTAGGTTATGTAAAGGTTTTTCTCTACCCAAGTTGTTTATGTTTGGGTTCTCTTGTGAGTATAGGTGTGTGTAGGCGTCTTACCCCATAAGCGTCCCAGCTTCTTTAGACTTGTAGATATCGCAGGTATGAAGAGGCCCGGTATGCTTGGCGGCTTCACACAGAGACTTGTGGAACTGGAACTGGATGACGAAGCTAACGAAGTACCTGATAAAAGATCATTATGTCATTAGTTTTGCTTTAAATTTAAGAAGAAAGAAAACATCAATCACGTCAATTCTGCCTGAGGGCGATTCATTTTCTTTGTAGCCAGTCAAGGAGCCACATTTATCTTATCTTGACAAAGTTCACTGGAGCTGTTTTCCATCTGTTCGTGTTCATGCTTGTTCTGCAGAATCAGGAACATTTACCTCACGTATGGCACGTTAGCGGGGATGTGGAACTTTGCCCCCGGGTCAAAGTCATCCTCAGTACGGGTTACAGGTGGAGACAGTCCCTGGTATTTCATTCTGCGAAGCAACAAAGAAAAATCTAGTTGTTATAAAAGTAAACCATTTACAAATGTATTAATTTATTACAGTCAATCTGCTCCTCACTGATAACTTTTTTTTAATTAATAATTGATTAGAAATTCTAGATGATGAGTATTGCACTTTGTTTTGTGAGGAACTTCACCTGAGGTTCCACCACTCTTTGTTGTATTCACTCGATGGGATGCGCCCGTCAAATACCTTCCATCTCCACTGATCCATCAGATAACCAAAAGGCAGGAAGGCGATTTTGTCAAGCGCCATGCTCATCAGGAAGTTGATATCACTCTCTATAGGAATGGACAGAAACACAAGATCATCAGCATCGTTACAACATCACAAGTTTCCACAGAACTGCACGGTACTAACGGTCACTCACCATAGTTGCTCTCTGCTTTGTCCAGGAGGCCGATGCTCTGCAGATGTTTGGGCGTGGACACGGACAGGGCGAGCACGTCGCCGATGGCCTCGTGGAAGCCGGGGTTGGCTCCATCGCGGAAGGACACGGGCTGGTCTTTGTACTGCAGGAAGTACTGGACGTGACCCATCTCATGGTGAACCGTGATCAGGTCGTCCATGGTCACAACAGTGCACTGTTTGATTCTGGAGACATAAACAAGGTCTAATTACAGAAAGAACTACCAATTGATGGGTTTTTTCTTGCTATAACACATAAAAACAGTATTATTCGGACACCTTTAGCCTACGTTTATTTGATTTTTCCACTCTTGCATGACAAAGCAGAAACCTCTGGTGCTGACAGGTGAAGCCAACTCGACTGCCAATAATTGCAGTTCCTTAAATTGCCACTAGAGGCTTGTTCCAAAAGCACGTGAATCCCCATAGCCCCCAATGGCAAAATGGCAAACTTAACAGCAAAATAAACATGTCTTGAACAAAATATAATTGTTTGTATCTATAGATTATTTACTCATTTATGACAACCTGTTAAAATTCATGTTATGTTGAGGATGAGACTCAACCCATTAGTAGATTTGTCAGGACTACATCTATTTGTATTATGGACTTTCTACGACCTATAAGCGGGAAAGACCATTTAATACTTTATTGTCCCTTCATCTATATGATTATACCGAATATAGCTTTTGTGGCAATAGATTAAAAAGCATTAAGAGTTTTTGATTAAATAGTATTATACTGTATTTACACTACATGAGGAACTACAGTCAAGGTTATCAGTTTCTTAAACTGAAATAAATCACAAGTTGCTGCTTATTCAACTTCCATATTACATTACATGTTGTGTTTTTACATCTACACTTATTTTCTTCTGATGTGTATGAATGTTAGGCAAGACCATCATGATGTCAGAGAGCACTGATGAACTTACCAGTTAAAAAAAAACAAGAAAAACTGACCTGAAGTCTTTTTTGTTGTAGAAGTCCCATGCAGAGGCGTGACACACCACCTCGCGTCCGTCAGACGGCTTCTCCAACATGGATTTGTTCCAGAACTCTTCTGGCATTCTGATCAGACCCAGAGAGGTGAAGAAATTGTCTGATTCCTCAAACATTCTCTTGGCGTCCCATCCCTGAGCGAGAAAAAAAGAACATCAGTAAAGATGTGAGTGTGAATGTATATAAGCAGTTTTCCCTGGAAATGAGGTATTTCACATTTGGACAAAGCAACATCTACGTTTTAGAAAATGTGTGACTGCACAAAGTCTAAACAGAGGAGGTAACGTACCATTGAAAATATGAACACAGAATATATATTAATGTTTTTTGTACACTTTATGTCAGTTATGGATGTCTGCTGTTTTATCCTCCACTCTGGACGCCATCCAAGTTTCTCATTTATTGTTGCGCGAGTGTGTGAGTGTGTTTTCTTTGATTGTCCTCATATATTTATGTGTGAAAGAAAGCTGTGATCATTATGGCTCTTGCGTTCATTCACCTGGGCCACCATGGCAGGAGTGGCATCGACCTGACTGGCATCTGGGTAGGGCATGACCAAATCCATGATGCCAGACCACGTCTGCGCCCACATGTTGCCTGAAAGGACAGAAGAAGGCATTCGTATATATTTTTTTTTCTTCAAATTTATGGGGCAAGTCATTCTCCTACGGTGTTAAACCGGGTGGGCTTTGTGGCTTTGAGTCAGTCCAATCGCTAACTCTGAGGAACTGTCACACACAATCTCACACCTGATGCCTCTGAAAGCAAATTCAATCCTGTCTAAATCCAAATGCATCTACCAGCCAACGACAGATTATCAATGGGGTATTCTTCCACACAAAAGGAGCATTTGGGCTAGAGTGTTAGGATCCTTTAAATTCCAAAGGGACATTTCTGAAAGCAGCCCCCAAACTTTGTACTTAATCACAGTGTAGCTTTATGAAAAGGAGTCCCAAAGCTGCTTACCCAGCAGATGAGCAGGGATGGGTCCCTTCAGGTTGATGCGCTCAGAGCCATACTTTTTAAACAGAGACCTGCGGACGTAGGCGTGCACGTTCTGATAGAGCGGCTCCAGCTCCTTCCACAGAGCCTCCAGGTCCTCCTCAAAGGTGGGGGTCTCGTACAGGGAGCGCCAGAAAGCCCCATTGTCAGAGTGGCCTACAGACAGCGCCAGGGAGACAAGCATTCATCAGTGACGTTTATTTAATAAGAGTATAATAATGATAATGTAATACAATACTTTTATGCAAACGTTTTAAGCCAATATCCCTGAAACCGACTATTTAAGGTATTTAGACGTAGCCTCTTTTTTTTTTTTTTAACAAAACACAGAATGATATCCTTATTGTTCACAAAATGTATTTATGTTTTTCTTTTGTTATTCTGTCATTAAATCTGCCAAACTGTATGGGATAATATAATTTCACTAATATTAAAAAGAGAAGAAGAGGGGAATCCAAAAACCATGTAAGTGGCCAGGTTAGTAACCAAATTAAAAAAAACTAGCAAAAAAGAATACAGAACATAAAATGACAAGATTATACCACTTTTATGTCCTTTCATTAATTTGCATGAAGGTTGTTCTTTGATGCTAGCTCTGAAAAATTCAATTGTCACACTATTCAAAAATACCAAGGTGGATGTAGAATTACTCGTTGAGGTCATACCATTGAGTTTGGCAGCTGTGTTGGCCAGTTCCACATATCTCTTGTAATCCTCGCGAAGCACTTTGCCGGCAACATCTCTCCATCCCTTCCAGGCAAACAACAGCTCGTCATAATCCCTGGACTCTGCCATGATCTTCTGGAGATCTGAAGGGAACCATATCATTGTACTCCTTGTATCAAATACCAATATTTGTTCCCTTTATGATTGACACACTCACCTGGATCCAGCGGGTGGCATGTACCATCATCTTTGCAAACCTTAGCCACACTGTACTTGGTCTCCATGTTGGATATAAGAGTGTTGTACTGAAAAGGCAAAGGAACCCACCATTAGATCGATTGTTCTTAAAAACAAACATTGTAATTATCAGGTCAGAGCCTTGGCTTTTAATAAGATATTGAATTGTTTTGCACAGAATTAGGTGGAGCTATAAATGAAAAGTTACTGAACGTACCTCTGGACCTATGAATATGTGCACAGCACTCTAACTACAGGCCCTTGTGTGCTAAGCTTTAATGGTTTTAGTTTGCTAGCTGCGGATTGGGATATCAGTTCAGTATCATGGAGCTAATGCGAAGCCCTGATGGGGTAAACCAATATAGAGCCCATTACAGTGTAAAGAATAAGCAAAGTCTAATTCTAAGGGGCATCACTTTTTAGTGTCGTCCAGAACGCTCTACTTCCCTTTTTCTTGTTGTGCTATTGCGGCATGTTTCTGAATTTTGGTTGGTTTTTTGTGTTTTTGGAGCAATATTTGGGTGTGTTGTCAAATTGAACAACGGGTGTCTTTCTTTATTCACTCATAAAAAGGCAATTTGCATTTGTTTTACCTGCAAAGCATTAAGTTGTTTTATATTTGATGCAAACATCAGGAATTTAGTGTAAGGGAAGCTTAGTACTTTAAACCTGTGCTGCATGTTAATGGTCTGGGACACAGTTCATTTTAACTTCCTCTAAGATCTAACTTTGTGTACTCTTGGTTAGCACCATTATCGCTTTTAGCTACCTAGTGTTTTGTTAGCTAGAACTAATGTATGCCTATCACTGTGAGTAAGCGTAACAGACACATTTCCCTCTATTAGGCGTCCATGTTCATCGTGTTACTGAGTTTTCTGCATCCCTGTTGCATGTCCAGTGACAATTGTTTATGGAAAGCACATTTTTGTTCCCAATTCAATTAAACCCATGAAACAATTTCTATACAGCAGTTATATATAATCGTGAAACTAAACCCAGTTCCCTCCACACCTCCTCCAGTTCTGCCTTGGACAGCGCGGCCCTCTCAATGTCGCTGAGTTTCTTGACGATGCGTTTGACCGAGCTGTCCGTGAAGTCGGTGGTGTCGTACTGACGGGCCTTCTCTCCGTACTGCAGGGTGTGGGCCGACATCTCCAGGCTGTTCTTCAGCTGAAAAGGGATAATGAATACTCTTTATTTGTCTGTTCTTACATTATGTAGCAGTGGAAGCAGGCTAATTGCATGGATGAAATGCACAGATGATACATGCATGAATACATTGGTTGATTAGAGCAGTGCTTCTCAAACCTTTTTCAGTAATGTACCCCCTTTGAAACATTTTCTCAGCCAAGTACCCCCTGACCAACCCCGAACAATTTTGATAGAAAAAGCCATATATATATATATAATTACAATATAGTAATGTTCCATCAGTGTGTGATTTATTAACTCCTTCATGCATGAATTACAACAAACTAAGGATATTTTCATCTTTATGCATGAGACATTTTTTTTAAACAGATTTTTAAGTAATATATGTTTAACAAACCAATGAACAAAATTATATATTATGCAAAAACTATAAAATACAATACACAAATATTATAATAAAATCCACTGTGGTGCCTGATGTGCAACTATATCATCAGAAACCCCATGCATATCCAAAAAAACAGCATTAAATTAGCAGTCTCTAATGTAGTGACCACAATGCATCAAAGGTTTTTTTTTTTAAAAACGTTGTAACTGAAAAATGTTTTGCAATTATAAACAAACCATGTAATAACACTGCAATTACACTATTTAGGAGTTTTAGGTCCGATGCCTCCAGTACTTTGGCTGATGTTGTGGAGGCTTTTCGCATCATCTCTTGCGAGGATTTGTACTCCGGTGGCTTACCAACATGACACAGGTGTTTGGTGCTGAGATGTCTCTGGAGGTGCGCTGGTTTCATCGAGCTGTTGGCTAGTTTCTCCCCACAGAAAAAAACACAATGCCTGGGGCGGGCTGCCTTTTGTTGACGTGAATCCCATCAAAGCATAAGCCTCATGATATTGACGGCATTTTGTTGGCTCAATTTTGGCTTTGTTTTTTTCTCCGTTGTCCACGTTCCCTGCTGTAGTGCTGCTACGTTTTTAACCACGGTTCCATTTCAATGTCTATTTGTTATAATCTAATATTGCAACTGGCTTCCCGCTAGGCGTGGTTCCGGGCTAGAGCCTGATTTAGCTCTGGTTCTTCTGGGTTTCAACCGCAGCGGAGACGGCTTTCAGTACCAAAACCCGGTTCTTAGCTGTCCCCACTGCCCGGCAATAACCAATACTTCACACTTACGCCGGAGGGGGGCGAAATTAACCTGAGCAATAACATTTAATGGCAAGCACGGCGAGTTGTAACAAGCAGTAGCGCAGAGCAAAGTGACTAGAACGTGACCACACACTTATAAAAACAGAGAACAGCAGTTAAGCACCAGAACGGATCTTGAACCCTTCTGTGGTTCTAGGAATATTTTATATAAAATTTTGTTTTCTATTTAGCTTATTGTACTATGATTATTTTTGTAATCATGCATGGTATTTTTTTAATTAACCCTTTTTTTTTTATCTCAAGTACCCCCTGCAATACCCCAACGTACCCCCAGGGGTCCGCGTTAGGGCTGCACGATTTTGAGAAAAAATCTAATTGCGATTTTTCTGACAAATATTGCGTTTGCGATTCGAATTGCGATATTAAGCGACCCAACGGAAGTTTATTGTAAAATGCGGCCATAACTCCGGCTAGGAAGGTCGTATCAACGTACTCCCGTCTCTAGCACCCCCGCAGCCCGAGCTACGAGTGAAAGAACTAAACTTACATGAAACTTCCGTTGGGTTGCTTTAAAGTCAAGCTTCAGTTTAAGATTCACCCTGTAATAGATGTCAAACATATGATGGAGCATTACTAACCTGACTCAGATGGTTTGTTTCACCAAACCATCTAGGAAAGCTCCATTGGAAGCCATTTGGAAAGGGCAGGCACTTTCAAAAATACTTGGCAGGTGATTGGATCAATCTGTCTATCACCTTCTATCATGGGCCACTTCTGATTGATTAACAATGGCTAGTACATGTGGAGCACAGCACTTCTGATTGGTGTGGATGACTGACACACAAGAAGAAAAAAAAAAATGTGTCAAAAAAAATCGCAGGCTTTGCGATTTGATAATCGCATCATTTCAAATCACGATTTTGATTTAAAATCGATTAATCGTTCAGCCCTAGTCCGCGTACCCCCATTTGAGAATCATTGCTCTACACGAGCCATGGCTGTGTCAACAGCTTTATTTAACGGTGTGAGTGTGGAGGACAAATGCACGGCGGCATCTTGGTCAACGCCAGGCCCCTTCATAAAGTTTTGTCTCTTGGAAATGTCCGGCCCCTTTTCATCGTTTGTGCTTGCTGGGGCAACACAGGACTGGTGAGGAGGGAGGGGGGCTGTGGGTCAGTGGGCATCTGACCCCCTCCCCGGGCGTAATGCGCTTACGTTTTTCCCCGGGCCCCTGGCCCCGGGGGACGTGACGCGCACATGGGGCCATTGGGGCTGGAAGACTCTTTCCCCCTGNGCCTGTAGAAATGTTGGGTCAAAAATAATGCATACAATAGCACAGATGCCTTCACCACGAATGGCTACAAAAATATCTCATATCCCAAGCTTATTATCAACGAGCTGATGTTGCAGCTGAAATGTTCTCCAGGTCACAAAGTCAACCTCACATGATGATGTGATACCAGTTTTCAAGCACAGTAAATATTCTCTTCCCAGCGTATATGATGGGACCAAGGTGATTATGTAGTAGGCTACATGGTTTTAATAATACTTTTGCCTTTCAATGTTTGCCATTTCAAACCATGAGCATGGTTTAAATAATATTTGCCTTGATTTACAATATGTTAACCTTCATTATAGTCCTTGACAGCGGTCTGTACTGCTGTATTAACAACGTGTCACAGGTTAAGAATTTACAATCAGAATCGAGTATTCAACTAAGCCCTGTAATACAAGTTGTTAGTAGCCCTAAGGCCCCCCACATTGCCCTTCACTGGATGCATAATGAGCTGCACTAAACTACATTTTAACATTTAAAATACCTAGCTATTCTTTTGCGGTTATTTTGGTGAAAGTAACTAAAAAGTAACTAAAGTAGTGTAACTCATTACATTTCAGAGACAGTAATATTGTAATGTAACTTATTACTTTCAAAAGAGAGTAATAAGTCATATGTAATATATTACATTTTGGAAGTAACTTGCCCAACACTGATTGGGACACAGTGGACACTATTGAGTGGTGTGGAAAGAACCACCTGAGCTCAGTATTGCCAAGATAAAGACAAGGAAATTATGGTTGCCAAGCAATTTGGGGAAGACATAAATGGTCTTTTACCGCTTTCTCCCTCCTCACTGCTATTGGAGCAAACCAGCCTGCATTTCCACCAGTTTCGAGCTGAATCATCGAGATGAAGAATGTGCCATTTACAAAGGGCTTTGCATTGGAAGTGCATTGGACAGCAGAAAGCTTACACATCTTCCGGCGCAGACTAAAAACTCATCTCTTTCGACTCCACTTCGAGCGATAGAATTACAAACAAAGAATTATTAACAAAGCACTTATATACTAATAAAGGACTGGCTTATCTAAAGCCAGTTGAGTAGCACTTGAAATGTTTTAGCTCTATGAAAGCTGATGTACTTATATGATTCTGTTTTCTCCAAGTTTGTATCTTCTTGGTCGAATGCACTTATTGTAAGTTGCTTTGGATAAAAGCGTCAGCTAAATGCAATGTAATGGAAGTAGTTGCAAGATGGCAGATTGCACTGATTACCTGCAAGCTCTTATTATAATATTTAACAATATTAGTTGTTATCCAAAAGACAATCATAAACCAACTGTTAATGTTAAGATGTATCAGAAAATTATGTGAAGACTATCCTCTCATCTAATATCTTCTGTTTGGTTTTCTTAAAAATGACCAACAGATGCTTGCGTGCCTTTTTCTCCCTTGTTATAACTGCTTTAACTGCAACACGTCTCCATCTGTACCTTGATGTGTTTCTTGACACCTCCACCAACACATCTTCCCTCTTGGATCAATAAAGTGCTTTATCTGTCTATTGAGGGCAAGGACAGAACAGCGAAACAATCATAGCTCAAGGATCATATTTGAGAAATGACTTTATGTTCATGTACACTCTTATATGGCCTCGTTGGATGTCAGGAGCTTTTCTTTACGGCACTCTTAAAGGTCATGGACGGAGGTGTTTCTATGTGTAATGACAGTGCTGGGACAATAGATGGATTTAAGGCTGCTCTGAATGGATTTGACACATTGATTTGCTCCAATTTAAAACGAACTACTGCTGTATTGTGACAGCACTTTCTGTCCAATTGGCAGCACCTCTGCCATTTGATTGCCTCTTTCTTTTTACTGTGTTTGAACCCTGTTAAAGTTGAGAAATCACACTGCATATTGGGCTGGCTCAGTTACACTTGGTAAACATTTTCATACTGTTGAGTTTACCACATCCTGAGTGTTTCTTATCTGTGTCTTTCTCGCAGCCCTCACTAAAACAACATGCTGCAGAGGGAACACTGGAGACAGTGAGCTGAAGCATTAACTCTGACCTTTGTGCTCTCAATCTACGTCTTTTTCTCAATCGTTTTTTCCCAGCTTTCCTACACCCATCCATCCTCCCAGATAATCATTCTCAAGCAAAGAAGCACAATAAAGATACCAACATGCCGATTCCCTTTTCTTCAAGGTCTTGTTGTTATTCAAGCTGCAAGGAATATTGTGATTTGTAAAGAGGTTACATTGCCTTTTCAATTATTATACGTTTATACTGATTTACACTTTGAACACCTAACCTGTACAAAGTATAACTGGACTTGAAAACAACACCAAGGGTTTATATCCACAATAAAAAAGCACATACTCATTGATTTAGCTTTTAAAAGCTAAGTGAGTATCTCGTTAAATATAGAGGTAGAAATTGTTGAATTAGTAGAAGAAGTAAAAAAACGTTCCCAAAGGATTTGTACGGTTATATATATAAGGTAGTTCTCCAACTTCTCATTCGAATCACACAGAAAAGCTGGCAGTGAAGCGAGCCTCAGGTCTGATTGTGACACTTGAAGGCAGCTGATGGTATTTCATTCTGGGGTTCAAAGGACATGAGCCATTGATATCCACTCATCAGTTTATATTTAGCTTGATTAGAAGCATGTGAACCGATCCTCACTCTGCTTGATCTTCCACATTTCTAACGTGAGCCAAATCACCCTCACCTCCAAGCCTGGGAGGCAGATTTGCATGCATGCTTTGTGTGCTCAGGGCCCAATGTACATTTAATATGCCACCTTATTACAATAATCACAGTGTTAAGCAATATATTTAGAGTGCAGTTGGAACATTCTTTTCTCTCAGTGTGAATCAACCCGCTCTCCCTGGCTGCCAGTTTAGATGCAGCTCAGGGCTCTGATCCACTTTGATCCCATCTTTGATCTGCCCATGCTCCTACATTACATCTAAAATCCCACTCATCTTCCACCTTACTACATTCCGGAGAGAAGAACAAATTCTGCAGTGTGACCCTGTTGACTCTGGTGAGGTGGGGGCTCCACATCCACACCTATTCAATGTGTGAGGAGACCAAAGCCTGGACAGTGTACTGAAATCCTGTTGTGACAGCTGTCCAAGCAAACGCATACAGAGGCTTTGGCCAATTTGCTTTTGCAAGTTTTTATGACAGAATAAGCTTGTTTTGTTCGCACATAGCCATGAATATGGATGTATTGACTCTTATGCCTGAAGGCAAATAAACAGTCTTTCACACTCTGCAGTTTTATTGCAGTCTGCTGCCTGGCTGTACACTTCTCCTGCTTTATTGCCAGTATCCTCTCCCCCTCGTCTACAATGTTTATGCAAATGTTTCACAGGTGTATGCTGAGATGAAAACCATAAAGTGTTTCAAATGTTTCATATCTTGTCTCCACACATTTCTTTTCAGATAAGGCTGCCAATTTGGCCAATTTGGATAATTTTGATAACTGCATCCTATGAATCCATCTGAAGACATTTTATCAAGTAGAAAATATCATAAAACACAGTTAAACAAACGAAAAGACAACCAAATGCCATGCAAGGCCCCCTAGAAATGTTTTCGAAACTTGGAGACGCTCGCACCGCAGGCATCCAGATTTGTTTTGTATTTCAGAAAAACACAAGCTGAGTTGGCTGCGTTGGGAGGAAACTGAGCATGTCAATTTGGAGAGAAATGAATAAGTGGTGATCTCCAAATCAAGCAGGGCTCAGCTCCACAGAGACCTTTGACCACGCATTCATTTACAGTGACGTGGTGCCAACGCTGGCGAGAACTGATTCAACGGGCCAATTTCATATTTCATATTTCATAGCAGCATGAGAGAAAGGTTGCCCTCCAAGCTCTGAGGCTCCAGGAGCTGACTCACCTGAAGCTCTGAGTTGTGGTCTGTGATGTTGGTGTTGTAGTTCCAGCTGGCGGAGGTGCTCATGAAGAACACCTCCTCGGCAGTGCTGTTGTAATCGTTGAGGAACCTCAGGGCATCGCCCATGGTGTTCTGATACGCCCCTGGCAGCCAGCTCTCTGGCAGAGCCTCACAGAGTCCACACACTGGCAGCAGCAGCAGCACTGACCACAGCAACCTGTCCATGCCAGTGGCCATGGTGAGCCGCTACCCAAGGAAAAAAAAAACATGGAGAAAAACTTTAAAAGAGTTGGAAGGAGCTAAAAATACACTTTCTCCCAAGAAGTGAGAGAACACCTTCCCCCGGGAGCTGCTGTCTCATCCGCTCCCTCGCCTGGCTGCTGGTGAAATGCACAGAAGCCAATGAGAGCTTCTTTTTAAGTGTCAGTTTAACCCTGCCCACACTGCCTTCCCTCTTTCCACTTACTTACTACCTCCGTCCCTCCTCCTCCCTCCTGCTGCTTCCCGTTCAGCAGCCGGGATTCGGATGGATGCCGGTATCTTTGATCAAATATAAGTTTGCATAACTGTACCAGATGTGAGATGATATGACACACCAGTGCAGCCTGCCTGTGGAGTGGCGGATCCTCACTAACCAGCACTGAGCGTCTGGGAGGGATTCCTACACTTTGCTCTCTGTTCCCTCCTTCAGCTTAGTGACAACCGAGGGAGGGGGGTTATAAAAGCCAGGGGAAATAAAAGAGAGGATTGGGGAATGAAACAAGAGGGGGGTGAGGCTGAGATTTGGAAAGGCTGTAAGAGATTAGCACAAAGAATGACAGAGGAACAAAATGGTGAAAGGGGCTCACCTTGAGTTGTGTCTTTGTGCAGCACATCTTCTTTCTCCCTGATCAGAGGAAAGAAAACATACAGCACATCCTTACAAATGGAAACATGTTTTATGTGATACGGATTCCCACACAATCCTGCAACAACCCCAATAAGAGACAGCTGATGGGTCTTTTTGAAGAACAAGGAGGTTCACAGCTGTCAGGCAGTGGAGGGGTCTCAAGCTGTCTCCATTCTTCTCTATAGCCAAATCTTTATTGTATAGATAGTCCCACTATACTGTAGTTTAAAAAGCAGTCAGTGCAAGTGATACATTTCATATCAGTCAATGGCAGAATTACACTATTTCGTCATTTAAGTTGCGCTGACGGCCTTTTTTCATTTCATATAAGTGTTATTTTTTGTTACACATTTAAATAATGAATTCTCATTTATTACTTTATTTTAAAGCAAATTGCACCTGTTTTAGATAATATATTTATTTTGATGGTGATTTGCAGTGGTTGTTATTTGTATTGTTAATGCATTTTATTATATTTACACTAGCCTATTTATTGCTATTTATTAAATAAAAACTGTTATGAGCACTTACAATGTCTCATTTGTAGATACAGAATACAGACACAATGAATCTTTTAGTAATATATTTATGTTCCTCTAGTTTAAATTAATCATAACAGTATTTAAAACAATGTATGCTGGTCACCGTGAATCCTGTAAGCTTCACAGCATGGTATAATTTAATACTATCATTAAACCAACATGTGATAGATGGATGCGTTTTTTTTTTTCATTTATTGGCCCCCCTCAGAAAATAAAACTGGCCCCAGGCCTGGCCCCCCGGGTTCAAATGGGCTAGAACCGCCACTGTTGCAGATGTACAGACATCCTTGCGAGCTTGGCAAAATATGCACACCCTAAAAACAGAGAACTTTTAAATACAGGAAGTGGCGTAATTAAGTAAATGTAAGACCAAATAATAGAGGGAGGTGGGCGATTGAGACCTTACCATTTAGAGATATTTTTCCTAGCTTTAGATTCCAATTAGTTTTTTGGGCTTTTTGTTTGGGTGTAGTATATAAAACGGAGTATTCTGTATTATTGTCTTGCTTGTTTTAAGAAGCCGTTATATATGTTCCCTTTGTTTGTTCCAGTTTAATTGGTTCAGGATTAGTCTCCTTTTGTGAGGTAATCTTGTTCAGTTTTGGAGTGCAGAGCCTCCAGCCATTAAAAGCCCA